CTCAAAAGCATGAAAAAGTGTCTGTATCAGCAGGATATTTTCTCACAACTGACTTCATCACATTCACTATTATGAACATCTTCCACTAATGTTTCACAATCACCTTCAGTCGTGAAATATCAAAATTATGATTTGTAAACACATGCACGATCAAGCAAAGTCGCATTTACAAGTGAGAAACTAGTAAATCTAGATGACACACTAAATACCATCACTTCCTCACCAATGGATGTGAATGGGTGCCGTCAGAATGAGAGTCCAAACAGCTGATAAAAACATCACAATAATCCACAGCACTCCAGTTAACATTTGGAGAAGACAAAAGCTGAAACAAATCCAGCATTAAGACGTTTTTAACTAAATATGAGTTGATGTCCCTCCAGCAACACGAACACACGATCAGCCCTGAAACAAGTTCAGAAACATCAACAAACGCCAGTGTAGCGGATGAGGACGAAACATTTCCCGGAGCGTCCAAACAAACTTCATACGGCTTATTGTGTTTGTTTGCGCTCTTTGCACGAGTTAAATCGTTCATACAAGCTAAAAACGCCCGTCGAATCTTATTCCGCACGTAAAGGCGTCAGAGTGAGTTTGGTGTGGTTTCCGACCGGTTAATGTAGCCGTCTCCGTCCCCGTCACACGTCTGGAAGAGCCGCCGCACGCGCTCCTCCTCCGCGGTGCTGCACGAGCCGCTGCCGCCGCCTCACGATCACAGGCGCTCGCTCAAACACGCTCCGTGGGTGTGTTGGTGTCGGTGCACTCCGGTTTCGTTGAAAACGCTGCATCTAAAACTGCATATTCGTTTTAACTACTTTGCATATTGTAGAACATTACAGATATTATATTATCCATTCCAAAATAAAAAAACAAAACGAAGGGACTTACAAAAGTAAAAAAAAAAAGTTTGTTTTATTGTACATATACATGTATATTTATTTTATTCTGAATATTTAATTTGAAATACATTTATATTTATTTTAGTTTATTTTGAATAATATAATTTTTTTTAAGTAAATGTATATTTATTTTATTCTGAATAACATTTGATTTTAAATAAATGTATTATTTATTTGAGCTTATTTTGAATAGTATTTATTTTTAATTTATTCTGAATATTATGTATTTATTTTAAATAAATGAATATATATATATTTTTTTAAAGGCATTCATTTTTATTTTATTTTGAATAATATTTATTTTATTTTAAATAAATGAATATATATATATTTTTTTAAAGGCATTCATTTTTATTTTATTTTGAATAATATTTATTTTATTTTAAATAAATTTATATTTATTTAAACATTTGTTTTATTTAAAAGGCATATATTTATTAATAGGGGTGTGCGATATATATCGTCTAATTGTTGTTTAAACGATATGCGATTTGACATTATCGACTATAAAAACAGAAACACACCCAGGGAGTGCATGCATGTGAAGTCTAGATTAGACTACTGTGCCAGCACATTTAGAGTTCACACTGTCACTGCATGATTTAGTCTATTAAAATGCATTTAGAATTCCTCAAGCTTCAAGATATGACTTTTATATGCCTTTTCACTTTTTACCCCCAAAATCATTTCAAACATCACTATTAAAGGTTTTGTATTTAAAACATCAATACATTATTCATGCATTTGTAGCTGCAGGTTAAATGTGTTCATGTCCTGCATTAAACAGTCTGCATGAATGCATCATAGTTTATGTGTCACAAATTTTGTTGATACTGATTTCATTTGATTGGTTGCAGCCCTAGTGTCTTACTATTTACATTTATTGATTAAATTTAAGAATTTGACACAAAAGATGATGCATACATTTAATAAGGTTAGAAAAAAGTAGAAAATTCCCATGAAAGGTACAAATCCATTTAAACGTATTGAAAAAGTAAATTTCTGTTACTCCTGCAAACCAGGGGCGGATAGTGATTTGGGGGCCCCAGGCAAAATATAGGAATTGGGCCCTATATATTTGCACACATTTACCTAGATCAGCCTTATTGCTGCTGCTCAGTGGTGCCCCACAGTTGCGTCCAATGTTTCTACATTTTATAATGGCTTTCTTTCATGCTGTAGACCATGAAATAGCGATTGATTTACAGTTTTCACAAAAACAAAATCAATTATAAAATGATCAACCTCACAATTGAGCCTTTAAACCATTTTTTAAGAAAAGAGATGAGTCGGAAGTATAAATTATGATATTAATTCAAAACTGGGTTACGTGGGTGGATTTTCACATTGGTCTGAACAAAAACTGCAGACGGGATTATTGAAAATGCACATTGATTCTCTGCCAGCAGGAGGCGCTTTTGGGACATCAGAAATACAGCAGAAAAACAAAGCAGCGCTGCTCATAAACGCTACTTTATCAGATAAAATAAAAAATGCCACCGAAACTTTTCTGAATACAGGCGCGTTCCCTTCAGAGATTCATTCATATAAAATTTGAATGCACGAGAATGAGAAAAATATAGCCTATATTGAGGAAAGTCCACTGATGAGTTACCAGCGTAAGCCTGTGTGCCAAAGGCTTTAGACTTTAAAGTACACTTATTTTAGTTATTTTAACTACAAATTTAAATGAAAAAACAATGAAATGGAAATTATACATTTACACACCTAAGGATTTTATCAGCCAAACTGCGTATGCGTCCTATATTTGGGTCCTTCTCATAAATGAGTAAGCGGCATTTAAAACAATAAACATATAATATGCACTGTAGCGCAATATTTAATTAGAGCTTCAGATGCATGATATTTTCACTTGCTACAAGCAGGATACACGAGAAGTGTGTTCAACTCGGACATGCAGACGGTTGTCGTGGGGATAAACACTGTAAAAAGCAACTATTCTCATGTCAGTGCTTAATGCGCATCTCGAATATGAAAAGCATTTCAGGGGGCCCTTGGCTTTTGGGGGCCCAAGGCGGTCGCCTACCTTTGCCTAATGGGTAAATCCACCTCTGCTTTAAACTAATCATCGCACAGAATATGAAGAATATCAGAAGCGTTAGGAGTCAGCTGTCCATGCCTGACAAAATACCAGCACAATAACAAAATATCGAGATATCATTTTTTTTGTTGTTGTCATTTTCGCACATCTTTTCGTGTGGGTTTGGTGAAGTGTAGCACAAAGTAGTTTTTCCTCTAAACTGACCCACAACCCAATCAGTTTTTTACACAGAAATGCATTCATTTAAAACAATCAATTCAGGCCAAACATGCATAAAAACAGCTTTTACAAACCCATTGCAAATGTTTTATTGAAAGTATAATCTATCAAATGTAATGAACTAATCATGTGATACCATTATTAAATATAAGTGTCGGTATAACACTTCTATAATGAATGAATGATCCAATGACTGTATCATTTCATATTTCCATAACAAGAAAAAATCTAAAAATAACATTTATAGCCCTTATATGCATCGTTATATATCTCCCATCATACTAATGTGTAAATTTGGTTTGATCAAACTGCAAATATAGGGTGAGCAGTCAGATATAGACGTAGTTAATTTTGGTAGAAGTGAGAAAGAGATGAAAATGAGATGTGGGAAGGAAGAACAAAACACAAAACTGACTGAAAAACATTCTTCCAGACGGAGAGAGTTTCCTCAGACCTGAAAGTCATCAAACTATTGGTTGCCCTTTGACCTCACACGTGTTTCCAGCACGACTAAAGGCTTTTATTCCATTCAGAGAAATCACTGCGGATCATGTGTCAATATTTAGTCGCTTGCGCAACTCTTTTCTGCAGAGAAAAAAGGCCCAAACACTTTAAAGCTCTGATGGAGAACGGATGAGTATCAGAAGAGGAACCCAAAGCCAAAGACAATAATAGGAAGCTTTTAAAAAACAGCAAGACCTTTAAAAAAATTCCTGAGCAGAGATCAGAACAAAAACATCAGCGATCCGTCCAAACAAGAACATTTCTCACATTAGCCGAGGAAACCGAAGAACGGCTGAGGAAGAGGATGGATCTGGAAGCAGCGGGTCAGAAAACACAAGCAATAGGAGCTCATTCACTTTCTCTGTGGATCAGTGTGATTTCAGTATTATTTACATACTCCTATCATTTTTATTAAAATGACCTTTTATTTTTATAGTTTCAGGTTTAATTTTAAATTCAATTTTACTTTTTAGTAATGTTATGTGCATGTCCTTTTTATTCTTTTTAAATTGTTGAATTGAATTTTTATTTCAGTTTTAGTTTAGTGTAATTTTCTAGTTAGTAGAACTGTTGTGCGTCTCTGAACAAAACACAATTTCTGAACCAATCCGCGTTTTGAAGGAATCGGTTGAATCAATGATTCAATAGCCCATTCATAAAGATCGAGAGTCGTTTACTTCATTCCTAAATGAATCATCCGTTCGAACGAATCGAATGAATGAATGACTCGATATCTCATTAAGATCTTTTCAGTTTCTTGTTTAGAGTATCATTTCATCAAAAAATAATTTCATATTTCCATAAAAAAAAAAATCTGAAAATAAAATGAAAAAATCCATATTAATAAAAAAAATTATTATAGGGATAGTTCACCCAAAAATTTAAAATGAGAAGAAAAATGTCCTTCTAAAGCTACTTTTTGTAATGCCTATTTGATGTTTTTCTCATTTAATGGCTTTAAGTTATCCTTTGGGGGTGATTTCTCACAGATCTGATGCGAGCATATAATAAATATAATAAAAAAAAAAAAATTAAAGCCAAATTATGCCGATGCCAACACGGACAGGTTTCATGACATAAAATAAAAAATAAAGTGATTTAATAGCTGTCCAGTCTATGTTAAGTTAATTTTGTTGAACTTACACTTTTTATTTATATATTTACTTTTTATCTGTTTTAGTTTTTATTTTATTCATTTAAAATTTTGATAAAGTTCTAGTAGTTTTGTTGTGCTTTTGTCATTTTTATTAGTTACTTTTTTTATATGTCTATATAGTTTTCATAAATTTTTATTTCAGTT